CCCCCCCCCCCCCCGACCGCGACCAAGATTGACACGTAACCTAGGGGTGTTCCAATATTTCCAGATGGAGGGACCCTTACAAACGTCGTAAAGTCCGCGTCATTTGGGCCGCCAGAGGCCGGGAGGGTTTTTAATTTGAATATAACAAACGCAAACAATACCAACCTCAACACAACCGCAACAGATACATACGTATATCACACGCTGCTGCTGTTTGTACTTATTTGTCTTCACTCGCTCATTCGGGTGTTTAGCAAGTAGCGATTGCTTGTTGACTTGGTATTTTTCGGCTTGTTGTAATATGTAACCTGCTCATCGACAATTCATTGTACAATTAATTGGTGAGGGCCGATATCGCAGTCGAGAGGTCGGTGGCGCGAGCGGTGATAATCCTAAAAAGCAATGGAACGTCTTGCTCGACAAGGACACGGCTCTCTTTCCTCTTTGGGGCAACCTCGACAAGGGGTGGTGCCACATACACTTTCACTTTTCTTCGCATCTCCCTCGAATAGATCCTTCATATCGCCGGGGCAACCTTTACGTAATCTTTAACGCTCCAACATTCGACGAAATCTCTCGGCTCCCTACATTGCGGGAAGGTCCAAAGAAGGCCGTTGTCCGCTCTCTATGGGGATTGGTCCGTCCAAGGTTGATCAGTGATTGATTGGTCGGCCGGATAGTTTAATTATCCCAAAACTTCAAGCGCTAGCTGCGTTGTCTACTACTATTGCACGTATGCACAATCCCTTAGGTCCTGAGTGACCCCTCCGCCCCCGCCCAACAAGCTGAAACACGCGCACTTCGCGAATACGTGTTGGCTTCTTCCAGGGAAAAAACTGCCCCACAAAAACAAGCCTCAGCGGCGCGTGGCGCATCGTATTTTTATGAACAACTGCGAAATTTACACTCTCAGCGTCACATGCACAAAAATCTCATTCTCGTTTGTCAACCCTTTTCGAGAACCGTGGCGTGATGACATGCAGAATGTCGCAATCGACGGATAATCCGGACATCTTGAGGCCGGCGGCCGCTTTCCGAATCCCGCCGATTAGCTTGGGGCGCACTGCAGCAGCAACCGCAACAAAATATCTTTGGCGTATGCCCACAGGTACCCTCGCATCATAGCGACCACGCAGCTTAACGAAAGTTGGCGTGGGGACAAGAAGAGCATGATAGGTACTCCCGCGCAAGATAGCGTTACTTGTAATCCCGCACAGCTTTCAGAGGAGGCGACAACAGCAGCGCCACCGCTCGTAGCCGCGAACATTGCAAGTTGCTGCCGTCTCCAGGAGAGGCCAGAGTCTACAACCAGCCGAAGCAACTCAGATTTTGTCAGGGGAAGAATCCTGATTGCGGCTGTCTCGAAGAAAGGTGGTACGAGTAAGACATCGCCCCAAGTAGCACCGCCGTAGAGAGTACGGCTGCAGGAGATGGAGATATCTAGGGCAGCAGCACAGAGTGGGGACAAACATAGCGTACGGTTAGCTAGCCATCAGCAACAACCTTCTACAGGTTACCACGGGCATCAGCAACTGTACATATTGATTGGGTCTTTCGGCTACTGGGAAGGGACACGGTCGCGCACAGGGTTGAGAATTGGGACTTTTGTAACATACATGTACCTCGATTGACTTGATGTCCTGAACAATGTCCGGTTCGGTCGCAATCATATGTTCCACTTGTAAATTTTTCGACTCAGTCCTCTTCACTATCGGTACATGTCCAACCCCCACTCGACTTCCTGCGCATTCTCTCTGTCAATTTCCCTCCTGAAGTCGGGATGGGTTGGCATCGGATGGCATCCACACACTCTGGCATCAAACCACCCCGTGGCTGTCAATACTATTGATAGGCACCCCATGCCTTACGAGCGTCGACGGCTTGGAAAACTGCTTAGCCGTTGCGCCACCCTTCAAACCATGATTCAAATTCCCTAATTGCTACTTTGCACCCTTCTGATTGTATGTGATCTCTTGCGATCAGCAATGAAATAAACCGGTGACCGAGCTGAACCCATATCCTTGTATGTTGTCTGGCACTCATTACATAGGCACGTCTACAAACGGCCGATTCCGGAAGCGTATAATACCGTGCAGCCATCAAGCTAGTCTAAGCCTTTAGGTCCGCCCAGTAACGGTTCTTGTGAAACGGCTCGGCTTCACCTCACCGCGATTCATGATAGGTACAATCCCATGTGCTCCTCACGGGCTTTGTAAAAACACGAGGGTATTCCGTTCTGGCACAACAAAGCACCCCTAGGCGATAAAAAATTGGCTCATCATCGGGCGTGTTGATATGTCGGCTCTTGGTGTGGTCTACACTACAGCCCTAGTGCTTCATCTGAACGAAGTTTATTGTTTTGGGCTCATCTTGTTGTTGCTGTTATCTTCACATATTGCTCCGTACCAAAGGTTTGCACGGTGTGTGGCGTAGCGTGGAGGTTGTTTTAAACTACGAATACCATCACCAGATAGACTTGAACCTTTAGGCTTCCAACGCTACGTGCCAGGAGACAACATGAACGGCCAACGCTCACCTTTTCCCAGTTCGGTCCTATTCGCAATGCCGACAATATTTTCCTAACCAGGCTTGCCGACCCTGCTCCCGGGTGGCAGGCTTTGGAGTACGCCGAAAGCATCTCGTCCGGGTTCTCCGCTCCTGCTAGTTTTGCCGCTCGTCGCCACTGCTTAGCCGCCTTGCCGATACGTTTCTTCCCCTGCCGTGCAGTGTTGAATTTCAAACACACCAGCAAGAGGAGTGCACACAAAATTCGGTGGAGGGCGAGTACCTGTGTCAGCCTACTCCTGCTTAACGCCCAACAGTTTGTGTACAGACAGACGTGGTATCGTTTCTAAGTTGTGCAAGTGGCACCCCTGCTAATACACTAACACGACGCGTTTCGATCCTTGTGCCGCGCTAATTCTGTGTGTACCAAAGGCAAGGGGGTTTGGAGGTGAGCTGCAAAGACATGCCACTTACGTGGAACTGGAGAGACTAAGATAAAAGTCGCAGTAGATGGGAGCGCTTGACATCTAGCACGTTTTATATAATATGAAACTTTTATACACAAAGACAGTACTTGCACCTCACGACCTAACCTTGAAGCTATCGATCATCTCCTACCTCTTTCTCTCTGCTCTGCTCCAACAGTATCCAGTCGGGAAGGGTAGTGCCAGTGAACCATGGCGGAGGAAACTCTAGTGCCGTAACTCTTTGGTGGAAATAATAAAAACATCCGATGCGAACGACAGGCAGGAGTTCGGGCGGGAGGCGGGATAAACAAGTGTAAGACGGCACAATACGACGAGAGAGACGAAGGGAAAAGCTATCAGGGAGACCAGCCGAAAACGATCGATTTGCATCACTTAGATGACAATGGCAAAGTACGTCGTGGGACAAAAGACCAGACAAGCCCGTTCAACATCGACGCCATCTCCACCCATCGAACAAACTCAGGAGATGTTCGTGTTCCTACTACCTTCCCAGAAACGCATTTTCCCGATTCCAAGTCGGAAAACTCCGAACGTTTTTGCGGGAGACTTGCCTGGGTTGGGTATGTACAGTAAATACGCCTATCGCTCCGGGAACGAAACAAGCTACAGAATCAAACACACCATTCAAGACCAAAACAGCAGCTCCCTTGCATGTCACTAGCTCACCCTCCGGCATCTAGGGTTTCCTTGATGTAGGCCGGGGCGTGTGTCACCAACTCTCGAGGAGGGCACTTTAGGAACATCCCCTTGGCCTTCTGCAGCACAGCCTCCCAGTCCTTTACCCCCTGGGTACACATGAAGGTCAACAAGCGCGAAATCGTCTGAAACTCGACCCGCGCGAACCAGTCATTTTCAATGTGTAGTTGTCCATCTGTAGGCATGACAAAGTTCTAGCCTACTACCAACCTAGTGCCTTGAAATTACGAGCAATGTAACAACTGGAGCATTGAGCAAGAGGTGCATAAACAAGGCAGAATATCCACAAAATATCTTCCATTCCCAAAAACGAGTATCGGAGCCATCGCACAGGGGGGCCAACATTGGGGAAAATACCGCGTCGGGCATGAGGGATCGCAAGCGCGGAAACTTGTATTTGCTTCTTTGTCGCGCTTAGGCCATTCGCCAATCGTCAGGGGGTCCAGTTTGTTGCAGACTCACCGCATTACCAGAAAATCCGATTTGGTTTTACTCTAAATCCCACAAACGCAAGATATCGTGCACGGAGTGGAGCAAACTACCAGAACACAAATTGTTGCTTGGATTGCTGCGCAGGCACCAAGTTCATCGCAACAGCAGCGCTATCGCACAGGGGGGACCGAATAGACCCGAAATTAATGAAGGAAAAAACGCCACCCTGTGCAACAAATCGCAAAGGTATCCCTGGTGCGGTCAGCTCCAAAGTAGGTACTGTAGGTGTGCCTGCTGCAAAAGTCAACGTATGACGCATCAATGCAAGGCAAACGAATCACAAGACACCACCAGAAAATCCAGCTGGTCAGGGACTACAAAACCAATGATGGCCACTAGCTGTTCTTTCTTATAGGTATGCAGAACTGCCAAGATATGCTGTCCAGGCAATCAACCACTGCCAGTCCCCATGCAAACTTGAATCTCAACGTCAGGGTATCTTTTTTGGTTTCAACCTGATCCTCTAACGTGCAATCTGGCGCCACATTGTTCGAGCTGATGCGAATCCAACATGATGGGCTCAACAAATACCCTCCCCGGCTTGCAGATAGACCAAGACAGACGAAGAAGTGACATCAATCGCACGCGAAACGAAGGAACAACGACCACCTGAAAGCAAAGACTGTGATTATACCGACTAAGTGATGGAAGCGGTCGTACATGTTTCCAAAAGTAGGACACCCATACACCAGTATGCTATACTCGCTGAAATATTGCCAGTGAAGACCCTCACCTTAGCCGCGTGCGAAAGGGTATTGTGCACAGCGGAGAACTCGCAGTCACAAGCGAGCACTTCCTCTCTCGCGGTGATGACCACCTTCATTTGACGTTCATGATTCATGCAGTAGAGCCGAAAAAATAAATTCACTAAGATGTGAGTAGATAAAACAGGTGAAACAACATGGTTACCAGTGAATTTCCTCTTCCAAATGCAAGCTAAATCGGACGAAGAGAATGCAGGGCGAGTTTTGCGAAGACGAGCTGAAAAGGCAATGGGGCTGCACAATCAGTGAATGTCATCTACGGCGGTCTGGGCCATGTTCTCCAAAATTGTGACGTTCATTCTCCGGCGCATGTGTGTACACTGAGCCCAATACATTCCGCGCTTCGATTTTGACACGCCCAAATATAGTTGTAAGGAATCTCTGAAAACACTCACAACGTCGATTCAAGATACGTTCGTAGAAAACTTCGTGCAAGATTGGAACAAGAGCGGGATTTCGTGGTCAGTGGTGCGTTGCGCGGTACACATATCCCCCGCCGGTCATCCTGCTTCGCGGGGCCTAACACTCCCAACATTTGCGAAGTTGTTCTCAACACAAACCGTGGAAAAAAACTCACAGCCGCACAGATGTAGAGAACGAGGGTGGGATGAGCCCCGAGGAGCACGTCGTAGAGCCTCGACACTGTCTTTTGGTCCTGGAGGTCGTGGGAGAACCACGTCAGCACCCACGACATGCAGTAGTACGGTTCCACCTAAGAATACATGGCGTTGAGAGAGGGGCCGGCGGGGGGCGAAATATCAGCACGAGAGCGAAGCGGGGGGAAACGAGCAAGGCATAGAGAGAGGGTCAACGAAGGAACGGGAAGCGGGGGGGATGAAGGTGAGGAGGGGTGTGTGTGCGTGTAGGGGGTACGGAACTCGCAGAAAGGTGTAAAAATAGGACAAGAATAACAAAGTAAGAGGCAATTAGTCGGAGGAGTAGCCATCGGGGCTTGGCACAAGAGGTACTACAACGACAGCAGTGAGAGGAGCGACAAGGCCAACAAACATCAACACAGTAACTTCTCGGAAGCACAAGGCACCTTGCTCGACGAGACGAAGGTGGAAAGCTCCTTGTCGAAGCGCAACGTGATGGCAGGAAGTAGATGCATGAGATACGTGAGCACCCCAAAGTCCTCACGCATGCTATCCCTGCTCGACACGCAACATCATGCACGGATAACAGGCATGCATACACCAGTTTGTTGCGTTTGCGCGAACAGCGGTGGTTGGAGGGGCGGGGTTGGCCCGGGGGCAGAGGGTGGTCAGAGCGGAATTCCTTAAACAAATGCACGTTGTAGGGCGACGAGCATAACAAGGAAATGTGGGAAGAGAAATGATACAACGAACGATTGCGCTAACTGGCTCACACATCCCTCAAACACAAGTTTTCCGCAGGTCAAAAGACGAGCTGCCTCGATATTTATCGCCGAATCGGTAGCAAGCTTGTTCCTTGCTGGCTCGTAAACCATCCAGGTACCACGCATCTACTGCTACAAAGCCCGTACGTCCTAGTTGGCTGAGAGACTATGCCTCACAACACAAAAAACATCAATTTACGGCACCATTCCTACCGGAAGTTCTCACCGAAAAAAATAGTGGCTGACCCTCTCGGTCAGCGCAAAGGTCAGCTCGGTGTTGCTGGTGACCAGGAGCAGCACCGAAACGACGTCGTGGAACCCCTGGTAGTAGTTTAGCACTCCATCGTACTGCCGAGCGATTTTTTCCACGGGGCGAGGTTAGAAACTGATCGTCCGTTTTTGGGGCCAGGGAGGGGAAGGGATCTGAAACGAAACACTAGTGGCACACACATGCATGTCATGAAAAAGACGAGAGGGCATTGCCTTGGCGTGACGCATGTACTACGGTTTTACACAGCGCCAGTAAAAAACAAGCGACCGGTGAAGACACCTACGGACGTCCACGAGAAAAAAAACACAACTGTGCTTTCATACCACCGAATGCTTGAAGGAAGCGAACAATTGAACAAATGAATTGTGATCTGTCGAGACACTTCGTTCACTGCCACATTTCACATTGTGAGATGTACAGCGCCGAAAAACCCAAACTATAATACGAGTAATACCAGGGCTAGACATGCAAAGAAGCTTGGTGCTTATTCCTTCAACAAACCTTCCGAACCACAGCGTTGATGACGTCACGAAGCTTTTTTCTCTTGCTCTGTAGTCGCTGTCGTTTCCATCTGATATGCACAATGCACAACGTATCACAGCACAACCCAGCACAGCAGGGTCTATCACTTAGATCAGCCGGGGTCAAGACAGATCTGCCGACAACCTCTAGCGTAGCCTTAACCACAGAGTACTCTTGGTATATCGGAGTAAACATATCCACCTCCGGTTAGCGAAATAACCTCGCACGCTTGCTCTGCGGCAAAACTACAGGGGGAGGGGGGGTCAAAGCCAACACATCAATCTTGTTGAAGCATTGCCTTCCTACCCCCTGCACACTTGGGGCGATAAGGGAATGCAGAGGATACGGCGGTCCGGTTCTTGGGGTGCACTACGGGAATAAAAAACAGCAGAAGCATCGTGAAGACACAACAGGAGATCGACACAAACGCAGCTGTCGGGGGTCACACTATGGAATATGCCATGAATACATCAAAGTACGTTGAACGAGTAACTCACTTTCGAATGTGCAAAAAATGTGTGAGCGATCGATCGATGTCTCTTTGAATCTGGTCCGTCATGGGATGGGGAGTTTCCAAGTGATGTCGGAAGTCCAGGTCTTGAAGGCTGTGCCGGTCGAGACAGAGTAGCTTTGGCCACGCCTTCATGCGAACCTCGTCCGTCTGAAAAACAGAGTGATACAGGATGAACACTGTGAAAACAGGGGTGAAAAGAGGAAATCGGACGCGTTCGTTTGGAACGAGAAGCCTTTCCTCGTTAAAAGGAAATGCTGTCAAAATCGACGCGACCATGTGTATCAAAAGGCTCCAACGTAGTTAGCACCCGTATCATGAGTGGTGTCTACCCGCGAGAGGCCGATCAACTCGCGTCGAAAACACAACAAACCCGAGGTTGCGTCGTGAAGGTACTGAGGGAACAAAGCATGATAATAGTGGGCGCTCGCTGCAAGTAAAGCGAGTTTGACCCGATCAAGCCAACGTAGCATCAAGCGCAATATAACATGAGACAATCCGTGAGTCGGTTGAGAGGTGAGCACAACGTCCTTGGCAAACATGGGGCACCCACGCCAAAAGGTTCTCGGATGCTTGTATGTGTATCCCGAGGGCGTTGTTGAGCAGCTACCAGCACGTCGGTAGGTGCGCCCCGGCTACAGTGGCAACTTTGTGCCTTACTATTCAATGAAACTCATCGAGTTGTGGTGCTTTGGAGTAAGAGACAAAATGAATCACACAGGCACACACCGACAGGGGGGGAGACCGATACATCGATATACCATTTTCTCAATAGCGTTTCGCTCGATGCAGACTCCAGTGGCGGCCCTCGAAATGCCGAACCTGTACGTTACAGTCCTCTTCTTACCTACTTTTGGTAGATCAACGTGCCCCTGCGCTTCGCTCGCTAGTGGGACTGGGTGTTGTTGGGGTTTGTACGTTTGTACATACTATAAGGGCTGCTCTACGTGTCTGGCGCAGACTGCGAAATATATATTCAGGAGCTTTTACTAGGGGCTCCGTTCGAGAGTTGTTTTCGCGACCACGGCGCGCACCCATGTCGAACTATTAGGATAATAATCTCAACGTGAAGCCGTCATTCCGAGCCAATCAGCAGCGCATCGTCGACTTCCGCACGTGTACGTTTTTTGACATGAATTGTAGCGTGACAGGTGTCGTTTTCAACTCTTATGGATCTGCTGAATAATCAGAAGAGTCTAGCGGGCCTTCCGGGAGCATCTCCGTTGGGGCGCCCTCGCCGGCCTGGGGCGGGGGTTGGTCGCCCCTCGCCTCGTTGCCGGTGCACTGAAATATAAGTGGCTGTTTTGCATTGCGCTTCTGCTGACTTGTTTTCCGGTGTGGACATTCTCACGTGTGGGGGCCTCGGTCATACTGTACCATCCGTCGAGGCCATTTCCATGCCCAGGACGGAACCGAAAAGGAAAGCAGCCTCACCCCGTATTATCTGCGATGCCTCGTTCAATTTGAGCTGCAACAGCCTACATTGTTTTCAGAACATAGAACTTTGAAAAGAGACCGCACCTCCGATCATCACCCACAAAACGCACCTGGTACCCCCCCTTTTCCCACGCCAGGTTACGGAGCTTCTCTAGGTCCACCGGCACCATGAGCAGCAGGTTTTGTATGGTCGCTATCGAAACAGGATCACCCTCACAACTCGCCCCCCCCTCGTGCTCGGCCTGATTTCTTCTCGCATCGGAAGCTGTAGCAGCCGTCGCATTACTGCTTCTACTTCTCGCATCGGCTGAGATAGACGACGAGTTTTCTGTCCCGCGCTCCTGTCCCTGCCCCCCTCCTGCTTGATTTCGCGTCGTATCTCGCGAATCTTGGTCGTCAACGGGTACGCCACCGCTACTGCTGTCTCCCTCCACCGACACCGGCAGCCCCTGCACACCCGTGCTTTTGTGCGATAGACGCTGGCTGTCTTCGTTGTTGCTGCTCTCCTGTTGCATGAAACACAACGGCCTGCATTGTTCAGACGGAAGTAGTGTGTGTGTTCATCCCATCTATTCTGGCGCCGGTTACAGGCCTGTCGGCATACGTGCCTCACGTATCAGCCAGGGTCACACCAGAGGAAGGTCACACAGGAGCTTTTTTGTTTTGTTTTATTGCCCCACATTTCCCCCTGTGGTGCTTGCCTCGGTTTTTATCGCGAGAAGAGTTCCGCCGTCCTTCTCCCTCGTCGAAGCTAAGCCGAAGTGTTTTTGCTCACGACCTACTTTTTGCTTCTACAGGTAGCTGGAAATAAATCCCGGGAAAAAGTAGTGTGCACCAAAAAAACACGCGTACACAGACAAGTGTATGTGGCACTACCAACGGGGATAGAGAGATATTGTCAAAAATTGTGTCGAGAGAAAAAAATCCGGCTGGAGAGGAGTGCATACACATGGAGCCTGATCAGCCCACTACACGCATCGGTCGCCCTGGTGGTCTAGTGGGTAACATCGCAGTCTGCTAAGGCCCAGATCATGGGTTCGAGTCCCGGCAGAGTGAGTTCTCTTCTCACTAAATAAATGCTGGTGTAGGAAGGAAGCGACGAGCTGCAAAGCTCGTTGTTAGTAAACCATTGTAATCGACTTCGCAAGTCGCGGGGGGAGGGATTGCTGTACCCTTCTCGCGATAAATATACCTCAGGCAGGAACCGCAGGAGGGGTCCTGCCCCCCCCTCCTATGTGACCCCGGTAAGGTCGTCTAGCTAATAGTGGAAGTGGAGGATAGGGGCCGGAGGGGCAAACGACAGAGTCCAATGATGGGAGAAAAAAAAAAAAACATCGAGCGTACATAAGGTGTGCAACGCACACACGTCAGAAATCAACTTCGGAGTACATTGTGCAGAATCCTGCAGAAACCAAACTGTCAGCAGCCATAATACTGTGACCGGTCTGCGGTTGGCGAGCTACCCGAGGACCAGCCATGTCTACACATTGACCTGCGCTACATAGCCTCCTTCCGGCGGCAGCTGTTGCGCTCGACGCTCGTTGGTGCCACCCCGAGTACATTCCATACATACCACATGACGAGTTATACATATATCGATCTGGATTAATGTCAGTCATTCAGGTATCTTACGCTATTGCAAGAGAGCAATCGGCAATCAAGGAGTGTAGTCCCTTCCACCCCCTCCAGATTCGAACCGTCTCAGGGCGGGGCGACGGCTTACCGGTGTGGACTGCTGTGATGCACCTACGCAGCAGCTCACACCTGCAAGAGTTGCTGGTTCGTGGTCGAAAAGTGTGGAAATTTTAGCCATTTTCCCATCAAAACCAAAATATCTCACCTCGTTCATCAATGTCATATTATCTGTCATGACAGTCTGGTGCAGCAGGCAGAGTGTGGTCCTGATGCACAGCAGTAGCTGAAGAGGCCGACAGCAATGCGGGCAGTTTCCAACACAGGGGCTCCGCTAACATCTTGATCATTGACGTGGAATCGGCCGACTCTCTGGGTTTCATGGAATTTGTGTTCGCTTTTTGTTTTTCTCTCGCGCTCTGTGGCGCGCGGCACGTGTTCGTGTCGCGAGACTTGAGACCCGCACTCATGAGAGCGGAAAAGGGAGGACAAGATCAAGACCCAAACAACAAAGTTGGATATAGAGCGCGTGCCCAAACGGAGCAAGCTTCCCTTGGGACCTATGCGTGATTCGCTAACGTTGCGCAAGCTTTCATCCCGCGGCGATCGCCCCACGCGCCAGAAAACGGCAGAAATGAAAGACCGAGGTCGGCGCTCAGCCAGGGGAGGGAGCCCGTCCGCGCCGCGCAAAAACTCTTCGGAGCCGGTGATTAACCACTCCTCTTCGCGCAAGCGAACTCGTGGAAGCACGCGGAGTCATCAAAAGGGGGCGCCAACACCTCGCATTTTTCAAGATCGGTCGTTCCAAGTCTCGCCCTCTCCCAGGCACCGAAAGCGCGGGAGGCTTCATAAGGAAGAGAGGATCATGGCCTCGTCGACGAAGACCAGGGAGAAGAAGAGAGAGAGGAAGGGACGGACCAGAGGAAGTTCTTCATCAACCGCCCAGCACGGGTGGGTACAGCAGGTGACACCTTCTTCGGGCGACGTTACCCTTGCTCCCAGCAGGCCCTCCTCCTCCAGAATGAGGGAATCGCGACCATCTTCAAGACGTGCTGCTGCTGGGTCTGCTCCGGATTCTTCCTCTGTTGTACGCCCAGGTCCTTCGGCTGTTTCTGAAACAACCGCTGCCTACGTGGCGCCGGCGTGGCCCTTCCTGGAGCAGAAGCCTCAGCGACAGACTCGCCAGCGCCCCGTCGACCCTGACAAGTTGATAAAGGTCTGCGTGGAAAGAAGCGATGGCGGCGGTGACAACATGTCATCGTCAAACTCATCTCGTGGAAGAAACAACTCGGCTCAACACAATCAGGCGGTTCAAAATCCAATTTTGGACCACGGAGAAAAATACCTAGCATCGTCCGTCGTGAATGCTAGCAGCAGCAAGGCCAGCGGGGGAAGTGGCATTTCTTCTAGACCCCACAGCAACGGCATCGCGAATGGGACCCTTACCTCTTCTTCCCGTCGGCACGTGGTCCGTTCCAGCAGCGGCGTCGCCTCACGCTCGGGCGGCACATCCGAAAGGCGGACACCGCCGTCCTCAGCCTCCAACACCACGACCACAACTCCTCCTTCTGCACAGGTATCCGCGACTACGGCAACGGGAGAAGGCGGGGCGAGGGGAGAAGGGCGGGAAACAGAAGCAGCCAAGACGGATAACGTGATATGCCCTCAGTTTCGTCTTCACAATCTTTTTGACGCTGGCAACACCATCACCACCACAGCGGATAACGACGACACCCAAAGCTGCCAAACTTCGGGGAAACCAACACTCGGTCCTCGCCGTAAGCGTCCGGTCAAGACAGAAGCTGGAGCCACCCGTGAGGGGAGATCCATGGCGCCGCCCCGTCGAAGTGCCTCAGCTTGCGGGGGTGGTGGAGAAAAGCAGGTCGGGTTTCTGGATCAGACGAAGGATGCGCTTGTGCGCTCGACGCAGGCCGTGTTCGGCAGCGACTACGACATGGATGACGATGACTTCGCCTTCTTGCAGCAACTCAACGGTGGTAAGAGCACCGGAGGAGGCTCGAAAGTGGCGACGGGGGGTGATTGTACGGGAGAGAAAGGGTGGGCAGTCAGCGCAAACCTGTTCGAGGGGATGATCGAAAGGCTGGAGCGCCAGGAGTCTCGTGCGCGTGATGTGAGTTTCCTGTGTTGGATGAGAAGTTAGGATTTGTCCGCACATGATGTTTAGATATATAAAAAATGTGTATCTGACGGTTTATGTAGCGATACTGCTGTAGTTTGTCGGAGCATGTACATGATAAAATACGGGAAGCACCGCCCCGGAACTGTACAAGGCGCGACACCTACAGAGTGCTTGAAGACATTTCAGATATTTCCAACATTTCTCGGTCACTATCGGTATGGAGTTGTCACCATTGCCTTTGGAAAAAAAGAAAGAACGGCGGTTACGGTACTGTGTGTATACGACGAACGTGAGACTACTGTCTCCCCGAGTATTTCAAGGAGCGCTGTGCTTGTCGGTAATTAATACTTCATCATTACTTGCGGACGTCTGTCGGCTTCTTGTTGTAGGAAGAACGAACCACATAAATGACAGCCCGTTATAACACAAAATTGTTGTGCCGTCTCCTGTGCAACGCCGGCTGATACATAGGTACCAAAGGTGTAGACTTGTGGCAGAACAGATGGGTCGAAATCAGTAAAGCAATATAGGAGCGAGTTGAAGCCCGTGTAAGCAAATTCAATGATGGCGACCGCGACAACAAAACACTCGATAGTGGTAATAGCATTATAGGATGCCGAAACAAATCTTTTCGAGACGAGGTGGCCTGATGTACAAAGAATGAGCACCTGTTGACAGCGGAATCTGCCAAAACCCGAACCCCGTTTTCTGTAAGGCGCCCCAACTACCATTTCACCGTTGGAAGCCACCGTCAGAATATCTTGGAAATCTATTCGAAGGGCGACGTAGATGGGGTTCTATGTGTCGTACCCCTGGGTTCCAGGTCTGGCAGTCGTCTGATGTTGACGTAATTGAGCTTGCCAATTGTTTTTTTTTTGTGGTGTTCCGCCTGTGATGCTTCGTCCTCGTCCGCCACTGTGATTCAGGCGAGCACGGTCGTTAGATGGTAGTCCGCCCCCCACGAAACATGTGTCGCACCTACTCTACGATATTCTAAAGTGAACAGAAGTTGTCACCAAGAGCAAATCATCGTGACCATCATGCATCTCTGCTTCGGTTCCAGGCCACGATTATTGTCTGTTCTGTAAGTCGCCGAGGTTAAGTTTTTACGTTTCCTCGGGCACCGGAATTGTGCCCTGAAAGATGCCTCTTTTGAATTTCCGAACGCCCCTCTTTACCGTCGTCCTGTTTTGTTCAGACCATGGTCCTGGTGGAGGCATCCCTTAGACTCAAGGAAGAGCATGCTGATGCCTCGAAGCGTGTGGACCAGTTCATCAAAGAAGGAGACGCGGTCCTGAACTTCGCTGCGGGAGTCACAGAAGATGATGACTTCTCCGCCCGCCGCGGACGCTCGGGCAGTAACGGCGTCGATGGCAGCGGTGGTGGCGGTGCGGCTAGAGACGTCAGCGGTGGTAGCAACAGCGACGGACACATGAGTGATGCCCACGGTGGCGGCGGTAGTAGCAGTGGTCTCAGGCACGGTTGCGGCAGCACCAGCAGCACTGTTGGCCGGCGGCGTAAGAAACACACTGGATACGTGCAGGAAGAGGACTCGGACTCGGATGACGGGGAACGCCACGCAAGGATCATGCGCTCGCGTGGACCCGTTACCCTGACGCAAACGTTCGCGTTGCCGTTGCTGCGCTCGTACGTAACGGCGTTCAAGTCAGCCTCGGACTCCCGCCGGGGCGCCACCAACGTAGGCAATGGCTTGGCCGGAGCACGGGAAACGGCATCTAGGAGATCGAAGGGGTGGAAAGGAAAGGGGAAACAGCCGGCTTCGCGCAGCGGTAGGAGTTCCGGAGGGAACGAAGAAGAGGAAGAGGAAGAAAACCGAGCGGCGGTGTCCGACGATCAGCTGCTGGATGTGTTCAGGTACTGGGCAAAGAAACGCGAGGCTTACGGAGGCCCGATGCTCCGGTGCTTCCACCCTTTCATCATGAAGCTATGGCGCCGAATGGAGGACCCGGTTAGGGAGGTGAGCTACCCGTTGATCTTACAAAGGTGGTCTAGATACGATCCGGTTCGGCGTTGCGGTGCGATCATGACACACCTATCCCTGACCAAACGTGCCTGAGTTACAAGTTGCCTTTTTTTATGTGTTGTGTTTGAGCTGTGCGTGCGTGTACGCTTGTCGCACATCGATGCAACTCAGAAGGTGGTGCTCGCACTGTTTGCCCACATCGGAAAAGACTCACGCATGCATTGCGTCTTGTTGGTGTGCCTGTCGTTCGTACTAGGTCCACGAGTCCGAAATAGGGTTGATGACATCCCTTCCAATTTGATAACAGCAACCTATTTTCGTCTGGCTGGGCTAAGTTTTTGGATTCTATCGGCTTGGCGTTGAAACCACGGCCAAGGTGGCTTTTAGTACGACAGCAATTTGCTACTATTTCAGCAGAATTGACACTGAGGGGGCACGTATGCGTAGGACCTTATTTTACTCAAGGTGCAAATACGCAAGTGGAGAGGTTCCGCTCACAGTTTTTTGTTGGTCACTCCCTCCGCTCTTGTGCAGGCGGAAGATCAGGAGGAGGGGAAGGACCCGCACGCGTCCCCGGAGGCATTTGATACGCTCAAGAGTTTCCGACAGGTGTGTGTGTGTGTGTTTTTATTGTTAGCATCGACCGCGCTAACCGGCTGACCAATTAAAAGACGTCAGTGCCAGCGGGTAAAAATCAAGGTCCCTGGGAAGGGGGCCAAAATTCGAAAAATGCGCAATGCGCTTGATGCGAATGCCAATACGACTCTCTCCACATGTTCTTTCACGTAGACACACATCTCAGCTACACAAATGCATTCGCTCGAATCTAGGAAGCCACTGATGCAAAGAGCGGAGTACAGCAAAAGGGTTATTTCAAGCCCAGCCGAAGCCAGGATATCGTGGTA